GGCGTGTGGCACCGCATTCACATCAGTACGCATATCCATGAGTGTGTGTCTCCTGTCATGTGTTTCGGTGTTTCATGATGAGTTCTTATTCTTTCCAAAAAACAAAACAAAAGCGGCTAAAGGGCAGGTGGAACGTGTTCGCCTCCATGGCTCGGCGCAGCTCGCCCACCGGCAGCTGCACCCCACTGAGTGCCAGCACCGGCGGGTTCGCCGCCGCCCTTCTGGCCGGCGGCACCGGTGCCGGCACCGGGCACGGCGCCTGCCCGCATGGACTGCATCGGAGACCAAGGACAAAGACCAGAGTGGAGGAGGAGACAGGAATGAAAGACCTAAGGGAACATCAAGGATGTGTGGAATGAAGGATCGATAGTGGGGTGGCTGCAAGATTTAGAAGCATGTCCCTGCAACCTTTGCGATACAGGAATCCTGGCAGTCTGGTTTCAATCATGTTCAAAGTTCTTGTCCTACACTGGTTGATGGTTTATGCTTCCCACGTACTTTCAAACCACTCCCTCAGCCTGATTTTGTCCGAGTACCATCATTCTATTGGGGTCCGGCAGCTTGTGGAGCTCTTCGCGTGAATATTGACCAAATATTTGTCATGCTTTCCGATTCCTCCGAGGATATGTGATTCTGGCTCCTTCCGCGGAGCCTTATTTGGTCACCTCCTCTTGCCTTGAAACTCTGACGATCTCTGTGTCATTCCGCTCGATGAAGATCTCTAGCGGAACTACCATGGCATGATCCAAACTCTTCCCACAATCCGTGCCTCCCGCTACTCAGACCGTGCCTCACGGTCTGCTGCAAGGAGCTGTTTCGCTTTGAGCTCCTTCAGCCTGATGCAGTTGGCAAGCAAAGTCAAGGCAATGACCTGGATCGACCCTGGTCCTTCACAAATGCCTACAACGCCTGAAGGGTCTTGAAGAAGCAAATTTCATAGGAAACTATTTGGAAGTTGTGTCTGATATAGGTATCTGGCTGAATACGTCACTGTCTCGTCTGGCTGAAGACGTTTCACTTCGGGCCGCCTTGGTGAGAGCCGTGGAGTCTTGTGCGGTGTTGCGTCCAGGCATCCTGAAAGCAACACGAATTCCATCCCGCACACGACTGGGTAGAGAAGGAAGAATTCAACAGCCACAATCTACAATATTCTACAATGACCTTTCTGCATCGGTTTCGTTGGTTTGGTTGGTTTGTGTCCTTTGTTTCCTCCAATGTCATCAAAGTAAGTAGACTAAGGCGGCCATTTCTTCAAATCTCCATGTCTTTTTTGCAGCAGGCTTCAGCTTCCTGGCCTCTATTACGGCGCTTCCTGGCGGCCAAGGTTCCCCCAACCAGTCTTCTCCCTCCCTTGCCGTCACGCTTGCTCTAAGCTGGCCCAAACTTCAGCAACCCAACCAAAAAGTGGAGTCAACTTTCAACACTGTTTATTAACCTGCTCTTTAAGCGCATACAAAAACTGGTAGCATTCCTTCGAAGTGGATGAAGGCAGAAGTCGTCGTAAATGAAACCAGCTCACTGGCCGTTTGTGAAGCCTGGGCAATGGTGTTACCACAGCTGCTGGTACTGCTGCAGCGGCATCTGATGAGGCGAAGGCTTTGGTTGAGGGGTACAGTACCTTGCTGAGGTGTATGTAGGCAAAATGGCCTCCATAAATCCCCTGCATCAAGAATGATAATGGCCATCGTCCAATCTTTGCTCGCACAACACTGGATGTCATGGCCAACTCCAGTTGGGTATCTCGGCACTACTCGCACTTTTCTGAAGATGGGGATGACAACTGCTCTTTCCCATCATTGACCAGCCGTGGGGAAGATGTGTCATAAACACACGGTTTGCCCTGAAATTCCCAGACCTTCTTCAGAAGACTCATCCAAGAGAGTAGCAGCAACCTGTCAAGAGCAGCCGCTCTCAGTCACAACCAGCCGTTCATGGCCGAGTGCTCACCCCATGCAAAGAATGGACACAAAACATAGCGCATGGCACTGCAACCTGGGGTCCTTGGGATATGACCTACACAAACAGGGCAGATGTATGGCGAAGGAGATGCGGATCCTTCAGACTTGCCGTGGTCAAAGGAGTAAGTGCAAAAAAGGGTATCCTTCGGAGATGTCTTTACTAAACTTAATAGTTACATAAGTATTTGATATAGATCTGCTAGAATCCGCACCAAACATTGGGAAATCCACCGGTCCTCGTCTTGACAAACATAGAGATACTTCACGAAAGCAAAAGAAACAAACATTGCAAACTTGTCTGAGAGTGCTCCCGCCTCAGCCATGGAAGTTTTTAGGGAAGGCCTCAACTCCTGTGTGCATGACCATACAACTAGCTTTGATGGTCCGGGTCTCCCAAAAGGTATATCTAGGTATGTGGCTGGGTCTCCTGTCTTCGGCCAATTTTGGCTGGTGAGAATGAAATGGCTGCGGGACTCTCCTGGCATCTAGTGTTACCATCGGACAAGAGATTTTGTACTTGACTGAGTTGGATCATCGAGGCAAAATACTCAGTGCAGAATTCAGACTCAACCTTCAATGATCAATCTGACCTAGCGTGTTTGTCTTCCTGTAAGCATTGGATTTATCATATTTATCCCAGAGGTCAAGCAAATCAGCTACGATTTGCTAACGTCCAAGCGGGCCGGTTTCCTGAAACGCAGGTCATCACGTCAATCATGTAAAGTATCTTTTCGTACGGCTCGGGCAATCCGATCGACCCTAGCCAAAGGTTTCCAGCATGTGTTTGGCTTCTGAAGTAGTTGATGGTAAGTTCCATTGGCTGGAAGCCTCGGATGACGTGTATTCTATCTATGTACAGGTTTATTGCACATTTCCGGTCATCATCAAACATCACCAGCCTTTCCTTAGTGGTTTCGGGCACCACATCCAAAGCCTATAACACAAGCACTTCAAACTCATCCAAGAGTCCCTTTCCCAGCTTTTCCAAAGAGAAAACCAGCAGGAAATAGATGGCCTCCCTGGCCTCCGCCTCCATGGCCGCCTCCCTTGGCTTCCTCCCCTTTCTGCCAACCCTTCGGCGGCGGTGGTAGCCGGCTGGCTGCGGCCGTCCGCCAGGGCGGCGTCTCGGCCCGAGCGGGCGGAGCGGGCGGAGCGGCCGCGCCGTTCCAGCCGGGCACGGAGGCCCCCTGGGCACCTTTCGCCCCGTAGCCGTCGGCATAGCCGGGAACTCCGTAAGCGACCTCAGCACCTGGCAGCACCGGGAACTCGCCTTGGAGTTGCCCAAAGAACAAAACGCCATGAGCTTTGCGCAGCTTTGAATGTGCTCTTTAGACTCAAAAGATTCTGCTCAAAGACTCAAAGCAATCTTTGTCTTGCTTTACCATGCAAAACAACAAGGATCTGCCAACACCCAAAACACTCACACTATCTCACAGTCTTACGCCCTAGCAAAAAGAAACACCAGTGCATGGGAGCACCTTGCTGAAAGCCCCAGTCCCATCCTTTTCCTTTGCCTGCAAGCAAAGACTTCGAGGATTCAAGGGTCGATGAAACCAGGGTTGCTCAATTCTATGGTGATGGAGATGAAACGTGTGGGCAGAAAAACTCAGATGTAACATAATCTAGCTCTTGTGGTGTTGTTTTTTTATTTTTCTGGGTGCTTCTTACACTGTGTTAGTCATATTTGTTCAAATCAAAATGATCAGCATTACAAACAACTGTCACTCGTCACTGTCTCCTTCAACAAATAGCTGTGTGAGTTCCAACGGCTCCAGAAAATCCTTCCATTCTCAGCGCTTCCCTCAGAAGGCCTCCTGAAGCTGACTGAAAGGCATGGCCGGCATGGCCAGCATGGCCTGAAACCGGGCAACCCAAGGCCAAGCCTTCACCACCCACTGGTCTTCAAGCGGATCTTTTCAACGAAACGTAGCGGTTGGAGCACGAAAGCTATCACTCTCACATGCTGGAAATGTTGGAGGGTCTCTATGTATCCCCCTTCGATTGAACTTGCAGTCGAGATCACGTCGATATCTATGAAACTGGACAATGGTATGTTGTTAAGTTTCGTTGGACAATAACATTAACTCACAAGCCGGTGCAAACCTATTGATCTAGTGTACGAGTAACCCTATGTCCCTCAAGTCTGCTTCAACCAGGACCCAACCTGACAAACATTGCTGATGTGCTGCCCCCAATGTTTTCTCAGGCGTCGGCGTAGGTATTTGACTTCTGCAGACTGGTGCTTCGCAGGGAATGAGGGAATGGATGCAATAGAATCTCTATTGGGGGCTCATTCCCTTATTCCCTACTAAGCACCAGTCAGTCTGTGCATGTGTCTTTGTGGCTCATCGTGTTGCCCAGTGGGGGAGTTTCAGTCTTGAAAACTCGTGAGCCAGATTCACCGAGAGTGTGCCTGTGCCATTTCCAGCGGCGGCCATCATGGCCATCATGGGGTTTAGCCTAAGCAGCTGGTGGTTTAGAACCATCTCAAAACATCTCAAAGATGTTCCCTGGTGCTACTCTCCAGCAAGTCAAAAGCTTATTGGGCATTTCCTACTCCCACTTTGACAAGGCACACACTATTACAATCTTTGCACTGTTGCAAGATTGTTGGACTCTTGGCCAGGAGTTGCCTAATAGGCCTATATAATGGAATTGAACATATATACATCTTTAGGACTCATCAACATACGCATTGATTTTGTGCATGGGTATACCTGTCTCCAGCGTAATGTCTTCCATGTGCATCGCACAAAGAAAGCGCCTTTTGCCCGCAGAAGCGCGATGGTTTTTGGTTCGTCTGGTTCTGCAAAACATCAAAGCAACAGCTTCTGGTCCTTGCCCTCTGGGTCCAAGGCGGCATTCCAGGCATTTGCCCTGACCTACAGTAGCCGTACTCAATCCAGCCGGAGCTCCCGATCTAAGAGCGAACTCTAAGCCACACACCAGCCCATCTTTTCAGGCGAGCCATCATCCTCTTCCTCCTGCAGGTGCGGATTCAACTAGAAAGCATCTCCAGTCAGGTGAGCACATTGCTTTGCTTGACTCTAGGCTCTGAGCTGTATCCTACCACCATTTGGCAACGACCACATAAATAGGCAGCATGTGATGGGTGAGGTCCTTTTTCCGTCTGCCTTTGGAACATACCTGTCATGCAAGACTGCAGGAAGCTTTTCACCGGGAATTCAAGAAGGAGAAACACCGCTTGCGTAGAGGTTCCCCCACCCTACCACCCAGAGGGA